AAAAACATAACACAGTGGGGTGGAGGCTGTAAAGAGTCCATAGCTACAAAAACAGTCTCTTTCTTGGGAGGTCCAGATTCTTCATCTCCCAGATACATTGGTATCTATCTCCTAGAGCTTTTTGCTATGGATGTACTTTGCTCCAAAGAATAAAAATAGTGTAGAATCACATTCAAAATAGATATTGTTAGTGATAGAAACTTGGGCTGCTCTGGTGCCTCTGATGTTAAAGAAGCTGCCTGCAAAGCAGTGAGACCTGACTTTGATCTCTGGTTCGAAGGGAATGGCTACCCACTCCAGTAAACAGTACAAACCAAAACTGTCTGAGGCTAAAACCACACCTGGAAGAATTTAAGTGGTAACATATAAGAAAGAGAAGAGAGAGGGAGGGGTAGAAAAAAAGAGGAAAATGGGAGGGTGAGAGAGAGAAAGAGAATCCATCTTGCTGGTTACTGGCAAATTGGAACATATGACTCTGAAAGGAAAAGACAAAAATTCACACACACACACACACACACACACACACACACACAAGAATGCTCAGTTCAGTGCAGCTGCGTCTGACTCTTTGTGACCCCATGAACTGCAGCACGCCAGGCCTCCCTGTCCATCACCAACTCCCAGAGTTTGCTCAAACTCATGTCCATAGAGTCAGTGATGCCATCAGCTATCTCCTCCTCTGTCATCCCCTTCTCCTCCTGCCTTCAATCTTTCCCAGCATCAGGGTCTTTTCCAATGAGTCAGCTTTTCCCATCAGGTGACCAGAATATTGGAGCTTCAGTTTCAGCATCAGTTCTTCCAATGAATATTCAGAGTTGATTTCCTTTAGTATTGACTGGTTTGATCTCCTTGCAGTCCAAGGGACTCTCAAGAGTCTGCTCCAACACCACAGTTCAAAAGCATCAATTCTTCAGCATTCAGCCTTCTTTATGGTCCAACTCTCACATCCGTACGTGACTACTGGAAGAACCATAGCCTTGACTATATGGACCTTTGCGGCAAAGTAATGTCTCTGATTTTTAATATGCTGTCTAGGTTTGTCATATCTTTTCTTCCAAGGAGCAAGTGTCTTTTAACTTAATGGCTGCAGTATGAAAATAATGCTAGCACTGGCTAAGACAATAAAACTTAAAATCAAATTTTGACCAAAATTGCGCTCTGCACATTTTGAGGGGGTAAATGTGAACTAGATGAAATAATGAAGCTCATAAAAGTAAAAGCTTGGTGGGAAAGTTTTTAAAATTTAGTTTATTTAATTTTTGGCCCCACCCTGCAGCATGTTGGATCCTAGTTCCCCAACCAGGGATCAAACCCACACCCCCTGCATTGACAAGTAGAGTCTTAACCACTAGACCACTGGGGAGGTCGCTGGTGGGAAAGTCTCATAAGGAAGAAAAACAGAGACTAAAAATTTGCACAGGAAAAAAAAACAACAACCTAATTTTAGTGAAAACAATTTTAGTAAAATGGAAACAGTTTAACTGTGGTTTCTCAAAAATTGATCAAAGAATTAATTAATGGAGTTGGAGCTTTTCTCAACTACAGATGCACTTATTTAGATTTGGGTCTTGTTTCTTGTAATCATGAATTCGAAATGCCTCAAGTGTTTTATACACCTATTGGCAACCCACCATCCCAAGCTTCCCAGGGCTGCTGTAAGACAGTACCACAAACTGGCTGGCTTAACCTAGTAAAAATTTATTTTCTCACATTTCTGGAGGCTTGTGCTTATACTCAGTCATGTCCAACTCTTTGCGACCCCATGGACTGTAGCCCACCAGGCTCCTCTGTCCAAGGGATTCTCCAGGCAAGAATACCAGAGTGGGTTGCCATTTTCTCCTCCAGAGGATCTTCCCAACCCAGGGATCAAAGCCGAGTCTCCTGCATTGCAGGCAGATTCTTTACCTTTGAGCCACCTGGGAAGCCCATTTCTAGAAGCTAGAAATTCAAAATAAAAAAAAAAAAAGAAAGAAAAGAAATTCAAAATCAAGGGCTATGAGCCCTCTGAAAGTGCCAGGGAAGAATCTTTCTTTACTTCTCCCTGAATTCTGGTGGTTATCAGCAATCCTTGCCATTTCTTGTTATACAGATGTATCATACCTATATTGTTGGTGTATAATCTCTGCCTCTGGCATCACATGGCCTTCTTCTCTGTGTATCTGGGTCCAAATTTCCCTCTTTTTTATATTTTGACACACCATGGAGCATGTGGGATCACAGTTCCCTGGCTAGGGATCAAACCCATACCCCTTGCATTGGAAGTGTGGATTCTTAACCACTGGACCACCAGGGAAGTCCCTCCTTCTTCTTATGAGAACACTAGTTACATTGGATTTTAGATTCACCCTACTCCAGTCTAACCTCATGTTAACTTGATTACCTCTGCAAAGACCCTCTTTCCAGATAAAGTCACATTCACAAGTGCCCGCCAAGTGCACATAAGTTTGGGGAGAACACTATTCAGTGCACTACACCAGGTCAAGCTCAGATCTGGGGTGTGTGTGTCATCCACCTTGAGCACATCCACCCCTGCCCTTAGCAGCACGAAAAGAGATGCCTTTAACACTGTGGGAAAAGGAAGATTTATTTCCCAAGCTGAAACCAAACCCTCTTCCCTGGGCAGAAATAACAAGGTTGGAAGACACTTGTCCTGGTTGACTGGTCTGCCCCTAGTTCTGCAGGGCTGGTATCCCTCTACTCAGACCTGCCATTCCCGCAGCAAACCACAGAATGCATGTACACGCCCTCCAGGCACGCTGGACAGGCATCACTTCACAAGATTTGCACGCGAACTCCAGGATCCACAGAGTACCGGTCTGAGAAACAAAAGAATATGTAAATGCCACTCATTGAAAAAGACCCTGATGCTGGAAAAGATTGAGGGCAGGAGGAAGAGGGGATGACAGAGGATGAGATGCTTCGGTAGGCATGAATTTGAGTACTCTCTGGGAGACAGTGGAGAACAGAGGCGCCTGGTGTGCTGCAGTGCATGGGGTCACAAAGCATCAAACAGGACTTAGCGACTGAACAACAACAAAATACCCTTCAATGCCTGCAACCTGTTGGCCTGAGATGTTGTTTTTTCTCTCTGGTGAGAAAGAAGACCCACTTTTTAAGATCAGTTATAAACACTGTTGACTTAATAGTCACAACCTAAATGTTGAGAGTTATGTTTTATTCGGTGGGAATTTTTAGGACTTAAGCCTGGGAGACAGCATCTCAAGTGACCCTTAGAGAACTGCTCCAAGGAGTTAGGGGGAGGAGTCAGGATACATAGAAGTGTGTAACAAAGGGCAGGTAGTCTGAACATCAAAAGGATTTTGTGAATTAAAGAAAACCAGACACCCCAAGTGAAGGAATTTAGCGCTTTTCTATGTATGGGAAGATGCCAGAGTCTGGGCTCACTGAAATCACTCCTTTCATATGCATCTCAGCTATCTGGGGCCAATATCCAGTGTTTTCATATCCAGAGTCCCTCAGTGCTCACTGTAGGGAACACTACAGCCTGCTGACTCTCAGGTCACACAGGTATTCTCCTAACTGAGTGCCCTTAGGGCTCAGATATTCACATTTGGACAGCCAGAATCACTGATGACTGTAATCCTTGTTTATTGACAAGGCAGAAAATACTCCAGTTCTCAACACTCACAGATCTACAAGCCCTCCAAGATATTATGTATTTTTAAAGTGAGCTTGAACCAAGTACCTGCAGAATTCTTTTAGTCCTGCCAGGGAAGTCTGGGGTTTCTAGGAGACTTTAGCCATCATTGTCATCAAAATGGCATTCAGGCTTTTAGCAGTGAAGTGATGTTTGTGTATTTGAGAAAACCCTCTGGCTGAAATGCTAATTGTTTTTTTTCTAAATAAAGCCCAACTTTATTTTCAATTATTCTCCCATCATCACTGATTGACCATGCTGTCCTTTTTGTCACTAAATTTCCATTTGAACTACAGTGTTTCCCAGCCATCTGTCGTGGTCCAAGTTTGTTCTATTCTTTGACCAACACAATTGTTTTTATTACTGTTATTGTTGTTCAATGTCTGACTCTTTGTGACCCCATGGACTACAGCATGCCAGGCTCCCGTCCTCCACTATCTCCCAGAGTTTGTTCAAATTCATGTGCATTGAGGCAGTGATGCTATCTAACCATCTCATCCTTTGCCTCCCCCTTCTTCTGCCTTTGTCTTCGATCTTTCCCAGCATCAGGGTCTTTTCCAATGACGCTTTGCAGCTGGTGGCCAGAGTATTGGAGGTTCAGCTTCAGCATCAGTCCTTCCAATGAATGTTCAGGGTTCATTTCCTTTAGGATTGACTGGCTTGATCTCCTTGCTGTCCAAGGGACCCTCAGTCTTCTCCAGCACAATTTGAAGACATCAGTTCTTTAGCGCTTAGCCTTCTTTATGGTCCAACTCTCACATCCATACATGACTATGGGAAAAACCATAGCTGTGACTATATGGGCCTTTGTCGGCAAAGTGATGTCTCTGCTTTTTAATATGCTGTCAAGATTTGTCATAGCTTTCCGTCAAGGAGCAAGCATCTTTTAATTTTATTACTGTAGATTTGTAATAGTTTATCCCATAGGTTCCTTCTCTGATATAGTCACTGGTTATTATTCCAGGTGACTTGCTCTAATAATTTATTCTCTATATCCCATCTGGGTGGAGACTCTTAAAATTCAAATTTTCTCTGCTTTTCTATCAAAGCTTCCTTTCAGGGGCTGCTATGGATGGGTGTGCAGGTTGTATACTGTACAACCACGTGGTCACTAGTCACATCAATAGGCCTGTCTGTCCAATTTTCATATCTAAAGTACTTTTATTGGTTTTCCAAGATGCACATTGGTTCACATTTCTAACATCTCTGAAGCAGATATGGACCTCCCACGGATGGTAGGCCATAGCTTAATAAGGGTGAAAAGTCATCATGTTATAACATTTCTGGCAAGACCACATCGGTGGTAAGTGGCAGAGCAGGGGTTTAAACCCAGCAAGACAAATCTAGAGTTGTAATTTAATGCAGAAGCTATGCTCCAAATTGGGAGGGATTTCTGGGTCTGGTCATTTGGAAGAAGACAAAATTTTGTGTCCATAACGTAAAAGCATGTGTGCAGGTGCCTGTCAGCAAAAGTACATGGGTGGGGTGGAAACTCAGAGGAAACTGGAAACTGTGCTCCCCGGGGAGATGCCAGGACCCACCAGCCCTCCTTCTTGTCCAGCTCTTCCTTCTAGAGGAGATGCGAGAGCGCAAGTTCGATGGCTTTGCCCGCACCATCCAGAAGGCCTGGCGGCGCCATGTGGCAGTCCGGAAGTACGAGGAGATGCGGGAGGAAGGTGAGAGGCTGCAGGTGGGAAGCTGGGGCTGAGGACGGATTGGCTTGGGGGAGCCAAACCATGACCTCTGCCCCTCCCCCGACCCTGTGCCCCCACAGCTTCCAACATCCTGCTGAACAAGAAGGAGCGGAGACGCAACAGCATCAATAGGAACTTCGTTGGGGACTACCTGGGGCTGGAGGAGCGGCCGGAGCTGCGTCAGTTCCTAGGCAAGAGAGAGCGCGTGGACTTTGCTGACTCAGTCAACAAGTATGACCGACGCTTCAAGGTGAGGCACTAGCAGGCAGCCATATCTGGGACCCTGCCCATGCCCCACCAAAGGTACTCTTGCACCTTGCCCAAACACATCTGCCCATGGATATAGGCTCAACTAATGTAGGCACGGCTGTCCACCATATATATCCTTGTATATAGCCCAGACACACTTGTCTATATATCTGATATATATATATCAGATGATATACATATGATATACATATACATACATATATGATATACATATATCTGATGATATATCCTCACCGGATCAAACACATCTGTCCAGATCATCTGTCCAGGGCATCTGGGTTGATGCCCTGAGGCCAGGCTGCCCATGCCCAGGGCTCCTGGCACCAGCCTCTCTGGTCTTGTATCCTCATAGCCCATCAAGAGGGACTTGATCCTGACACCCAAGTGTGTGTATGTGATCGGGCGGGAGAAGGTGAAGAAGGGGCCTGAGAAGGGCCAGGTGCGTGAAGTCCTGAAAAAGAAGCTGGAGATCCAGGCGCTCCGGGGAGTTTCTCTCAGGTGAGGCCCCTCACTAGCACCCTTCATCATCAGCTGCCCTCCTGTCACCCCATCTGTCACCCTGAACATGTTAACCTTCTATACCTGCAACTTTCTCTTGGTCCTGTCACCTTTACTTGCCCTCCGATTCATGGTCACTTGCCAACAGCACCCATCCCCTCTCCTGACTCTTCTCTATTACCACCTTTTCCAGCTCCTTGCCACCTCTCCCATTTGCCCCCACCTGTGTCACCCCTCATTTGCCCCTCCCCTGTTGCATCTCAAATATCAGCCCTTCTGCCAGCCTCACCTGTCACTCTCACATGCTCTTCCTCCCGCCCCTCTCCCAGCACGCGGCAGGATGACTTCTTCATCCTCCAAGAAGACGCGGCCGACAGTTTCCTGGAGAGCATCTTCAAGACTGAGTTCGTCAGTCTCCTGTGCAAGCGCTTTGAGGAGGCGGTGCGGAGGCCCCTGGCCCTCACCTTCAGCGACACGTACGACCCCCCACCTCCCGCACCATCCTTGGGCTGGGCTTGGCACAGAGCCCCCTCCCCTGCCTCACAGACTGACCGAAATTCGCCCTTGCCTTGCCCCCTCCCATCTCAGCCCCGGTCAGCAAGGAGGGGATGAGGAGGTGACCCCTGCTTGGCGGGTGGGGACAACCACAGCTTCCTCCTCTCCTCACAGACTACAGTTCCGGGTGAAGAAGGAGGGCTGGGGCGGAGGTGGCACCCGAAGCGTCACTTTCTCGCGTGGTTCCGGCGACGTGGCGGTGCTCAAGGCTAGCGGCAAGGCCCTGACAGTCAGCGTGGGTGACGGACTGCCCAAAAGCTCCAGTGAGTCTGCGCAGAACCAGGAGATTGGAGCACAAGAGGCTGGCCCCTGTAGGGGGTGGGATCAGAGACAGGGACCAATGAAGACCGTGGGGCAGAGCCAGTGAGGGAGGTCAAGAGTGGGTAATGGACGAGGCCACGAAGAGGGCAGGGCTAGAGAGGTGACCAATAAGTGAGCGAGAAATATGGAGGGGCGTGGCCATAGAGTAGACCCGATGGGAAGATCTTTGGAGAAGGCGGGCCCCAAAGTCAATAAGGGGTGGGTCCTGGAGAGGCGGGGCCAATTATTGGGTGGAACCAATCAGTGTTCCTGTAACTAAGAGGCTCTGTCCTGATGAGAGAGCCAGTGAGTTAGGGGGCGTGGCCCAGAGTAAACCGGACTTGGGGGTGGGGCCAAGAATCTAGTGCGGCCACCACTCAAATCCCTATATCTTTTCCCCTTTCCCTTTCAGAGCCCACACGGAAGGGGATGGCCCATGGAAAATCTAGAAGGCCGGGCCAGACCGCTACCCGGGCAGCTCCCGGGCCCCCCAGAGGTGAAGAGACACCTGACACTAAATGTCTTCCTTGCCTCTTGTGGGCTCCAAGGCCTAAGACAGACCTCCTGTCAACGGGATCTTACGAAAAGTGGACCACTCTCTTCTTTTTTGTCCAGAATTCTCTATAGCTCCCCATCTCCCATAGAATAAAAGCTAAGCTTAGTTTGATATTCAAAAACCCTTCAGATTCTGACCCCAGCTAACCAGTGACCTCTCCTCCCATCTTAAACTCCTGTCATGCAAGGTACATCCTATTTTGCCAATTTACCAAATTTTGTCTTCCCTCCAGGCCTTTGCTTGAGCTGTTTGCTCTGCCTGTCTCCCAAACTCCTATTCCATATGAACTCCTATTCATCCTCTAAGACCCACCCACAAAAGCCCTCCAGACCTAGGTCAGGGAAAATCTTACCCCTAGCAGAGTCTCAATCTATGCCTTCATAACCCCAGGGTCTCTTTCTCCAGGCCAGTCCTTATCATACAGGGTTGAGAGTAGCTGCCTCTTCCCTCAGGGAACTTGGAGCTAAGTCCTCCTCAAATCTTGCTGGCATCACCCTGACAAATGCTCCCATCCTTACTCTTGCTGCAGGCCTGGACCGCAATGGGGTACCTCCGTCTGCTAGAAGGGGCCCCCTGCCCATGGAGATCACATCTGGAGGGGGCTCCCAGAGGCCACCACGGGGCCCTCCGTCCTCAGCCTTGGGGGCCAGCAGACGCCCACGGGCACGGCCCCCCTCAGAGCACAACACAGAATTCCTCAATGTGCCTGACCAAGGCGTGGCTGGGTAGGTGGTGTGGGAGGGCAGCCCCAGGAATGGGATGGGGAGTGTCTGGGGCTGTGACAAGCGCCCTCATGTGCCCACAGCATGCAGAGGAAGCGCAGCGTGGGACAGCGACCTGTGCCTGGTGTAGGCCGACCTAAGCCCCAGCCACGGGTGCATGGCCCCAGGTGCCGGGCACTGTACCAGTATGTCGGCCAAGACGTGGATGAGCTGAGCTTCAATGTGAACGAGGTCATCGAGATCCTTATGGAAGGTGTGTGTGCCAGGGCAGAAACAGAAGGACACCTCCAAGGTCTGGAGGTCACCTCCTAAGCAACCCTGGGAGCCTGGCCTCACTGCATCACACCCAATACCCCAGCCTCATTTTTCCCACCTGTCAAGCACTAGGGCCAATAGCAGCCCTACCTTGTGAGTTGGAAATGGGCCTTGTCTGCATGGCCCAGGCCACCTCCCTACTTTGCCCCTGGGTTGCACCTAGAGGAGCTTCAACAGCACCCTCTGCAGGTGGGTGGGGGAACATCTTAGGAGTTATTCCTGGGTCCCCCGTGGGGATCATGGGGAGGGACCTATGTAAGAAGGATGAGGGAATAGCAGGAGTGGATGGTCTAGAAAATGAAAGTGTGAGCCAGGGGCAAGGCAAATGCACATGCAGCTCCATCCCTTCTTTCTGTCTTAGAGAAGACAGTCTCTGCCCTATGCCGGGCCCGTGGAGACAAGACAGACAGATACAGAGCCAGCATGAAGGCTTTCTCTAGGGCGAGCTGGGCATGGGATCATATCTTCTCCTCTCCCACAGATTCGTCAGGCTGGTGGAAAGGCCGGCTGCATGGCCAGGAGGGCCTCTTCCCCGGAAACTATGTGGAGAAGATCTGAGTGGGGCAGGGGTCTGGGACCCTGCTCTCCCACCTGCCTGCCTGGATCCTGCAACATGGGTCTCATTTCCCTCGGCTGCATTGGCCAGAAGGTCCAGTTCTGTGACCTCCAGCCCGGCCTAACTCAGGCCCTGGGTCTAGGGGTCACCACTGGAGCCCCTGTCCCCCGCCCTGGACCCTGGCCTCCCGCAAGTCATACCTGTTTCCTCCTGTGTCAAACAGGGCTAACAGGACCTACCTCACAGCTGCCTTGTGAGTAGGATATGAGCTGTGTCCCAGGGGCAAAGAGCCAAGCACATTTTGGGGGATCTTGACAAGCTTGACTTCCCTCCTCTCATAAACAAGGCAATAAATGTTTGCCGAGTGAAAATATGAATTAACTTACTGAGCACCGACAAGGATTGCCTTCTCATAACCCTGTGAGGTAGGATCAGCAAACAACCCCATTTTACAGATGGAAAAATGGAGGCTCAGGGAGGTTTAGTCACTCACCCAAGATTCCACAGAGCCAAGTTTTGAACTCGGATACACTCCCGTCCCTCACAAAGCTTGAGTTTGTCTCACTTGCTGGCTTCCAGAAGCTACATGCCAGCTCTCCCACAGAAAATGTTCTGGTGGGCCCTGTCAGCTTTTGAATCTACACACCTCCCTAATACCAAACCCAGCTGGGACCCTGAGGAAGGAGGCAGGTCCCACATGTCCCCCCATAATCCACTCAGAGTCATCCCTGGACCCTGCCCCCACCCCATATCTCTTTCCTTAGCTCTCACTCACCTGGAGTATGGACCGGTTCTGACATTTGAGTGCTTTCTGCACTTATGTCATGGTGAAGGAGGGATCAACCTGGCTACCTGTCCACCCCTTCCAGCTGTCCCGAAACCAGTGCTGGAATCTGAGCCTTTCAAACCTCCCCACATGTGCAGGTGAATCCTTGGATCTGAGCCTAAGCATTTTGACTTTCTAAATGAACACCCACTCTGTGCTCAGCCCCCAAAAGAGCAGTCCCTCTGGGAGAGAGAACCAGATAAGTGAGGTCAGGACTGAGCCAGAGAAGGGACTGGGGCTAGAGCAGGGGACAGGGGTGCAGAGAGTGTAGGCGTTGCTGGAGGAGCCAAGAAGGATGAAAGGGTCAGCAGATCTTGATGGCAAATACTACACAGAGTGATCTACGCTGTGATGGAAGGACTCCAGATGGAAGACACCTACCCGGTACCTGGAGGATGGGAGATAGGTATTGAAGAAAAACTGGTCAGAAGAGCCTTCTTCAGGATCCACACCTACCTGGAAAGCTGAGCATGGCTGGAGAAAAAAAAAAAATCCCAGTTGTGCAACTGTGCCTCAGCAGCCCTGTCATTAGTCAACCATTACACAAACATTTAACCTGTCTCTTGAACTGGGGGCTTCCCTGGTGCTCAGACAGTAAAGAATCTGCTTGCAATGCAGGAGACCCAGGTTTGATCCCTGGGTCAGGAAGATCCCCTGTAGAAGGGAATGGCAACCCACTCCAGTATTCTCGCCTGGAGAATCCCATGGACAGAGGAGCCTGATGGGCTATAGTCCACGGGGTCGCAGAGTCTGACACAACTGACTTTCGCTTTCACACTTCACAATCTCTTGAATGTCCCTGGTTCCCTCCATCTATGATTTTTGTCCCTCCATTGCCCGGCTTCCACTGTGCATGTCTCTCAGCAACACTTAGATTGGGGGACAGACTGCGGGAGGACTGTGTGAGCCACAACATCATTAGCTGGGCATTTCCTGGTGTTGAAGGGGAATAAAGGCTTCTGTCTCCTTTCTCTATCTTAGAACTCACCACGCAGGCTGTCCCTCTTCCAAGTAAGGGGTATAGCCCTGAGGCCCCACTGCAATAGCCATCACCACATTTGCAGGAAGTAGGGCTATTCACTGGGGATGAAGAAGAGAGTAGGTTTGACATCTTCTAGCACACAGCATCTCACATCTAGGTTATAGCATCTTTGGACTGCAAACCTCAGTCATCTTAGTCCCACCCATTCAGCAACATCCTGTTGACTCTGTTACAAAGTTTCTTAAATCGGGCCCCTCCTCTCCCTTTCTTGGTTCTCTGTCCTTTCTGAGACCTCACTCCACCCTTCCCCAGATTACGCCAACCTCCCCTGTGTGCACGCACACGCACACACACTCCACCCTTCCTAAAAAGGATTTTTTTAATGAGTTTTTAACCATATTAATAATAATCAAAATAAAATTATTTTTTAAAATTCAGACAGCCCCAAAGTGTGAAAAATCTGTCTTCCCTCTCACTGCAGAATTCTGTCCATTCCCCCTCCACCCCAGTTTGTTGATGTCTCCTCCCAATGATATTCCTGGCATATAAAAGCAGAAAAGT